CCCCCCCCCCCCCCCCCCCCGTCTTTCTCTTCCCCCCGTTAAACTACTTTTTGCACCCCCACCCTCCCCGTTAAACTACTTTAACTCGTTAGTCCAAGCTTTAGGTTAGTACACGTGGGGTGAAGATTTGAACCTCTCGAGCTATGTTTGAATTGACATTCGAAGAAATTTGTTATGGTCACTTTAACTTGTTAGTCCAAGCTTTAGGTTGGTACACTTGGGGTGAAGATTTGAAACTCTTAAGCTATGTTGGAGTTGGCATTCTAAAAAGCTCTTTAGCTGGAATGAATAATGATTTTGTTATTTATTATTTGTTTTTTAAAAATCTGATTTGATTCCAAAGTATGTGCAATCTCATGAATAACTATAGGTATTGCACATGATAATCACATCGCATATTAATAAGAGCACGAGTGTGGTACTTAATCCCCACGGTAAAAGAGCAACCTTCAGTTCATAATTCATGCTCCTCTAGGGGTTGCTTGCTTGTAAATGGCTGTGTAGCTCGGAAACAAAGCGAGGATGATCAGAGTCATTAAAGTACGAGAATTCTTGCCTAAAATGAAAATTATTCCAAAGCTAAACTCTAACATGATTACTCACGAGCTGAGTACAATCCTCGAGTGTTTGATTTAGAAACTCTACACTCGTTAAAGGGCAATGTGAAAGATGATCCGAATAGGAATGACAGAGCTTTTGACAACAGGGCTAGAAATCTTGAAATAGCCTACACATTATTGACCTGGATTTAGATGAATTCTCTTAGCAACAAGCTGAGCTAATGTGATGAAGGATCAAATCATTGACGTTGACGGGTAGTCATCTTCCGTGCCCCATTGCTGGAAAACAATTGACAAAAATTGTTGGAAAACAATAATAGTGTTCCTCTATTATCTCCCATTGTAGAGCTTTTTCCTTTTGTCTTTCAGAAAAAGCTGGACACTATTAACAAGATTTTAAAAATATCTAAGAACACACCAAATTTAAGTATTTTGACAAAAAAAAAAAAAAAATTAGTAGCAAACTAAAAACATATAATTACAGCCACATTTTTCTAAACAAAATAATTCAAAATATAGAATATATAATAATGGTTTGTAAATTATTGTAATCAATATTACTCAATTTTATATATGGAGCAAATATACCTTTAAAAGTGGGTTTCCTCGAAAGGATAGAAAGTATGTAACCTTAAAAAAGTGTCCATAGATTATGATAAAACCGACAAAATTTTGCAGATTCCTCTTCCAAGGTAGTTGGACTTTTCAAAGCTCCATCATTTTCACGTGAACTTTTATTGAATTAATTGTTATTCTGTTCCGTAGGCAAATTATTGGATCATTTTTTAGTTCTGAAGCAGCGATTCTAAGGATCGGTCGGCGAATCGACGATTTAGTGTCTTAACGCTCGCTAGTACCGGCGGAGCGTGTATCTTACGCGAGATTCGATGGCGGAGTACGGCGGAGTCAAATGGAGGAGCAACCGGTCGCTGTTAATCGCGACGGTGAACTTTCTGTTAGTTCTGGTCTTAGTTTCTGCAGAACGAGGCCTGAAGAATCCGGGGATTCCGACGCCGGATGGAACACGGCGAGATTTCAAAAGTCTTCTTACTATCGGGAAGGGTTTTCTCTGGCAATCGGACGCCTCTGATTATCAACACGTCTGGCCTGTAAGTGGTTCCCAATCTCCCCCCAGTTTACTTTTAATAATAATAATAAATAAATAAATAAAATCATAAATAATAATAAAGTTTTTTTTTTTCTTCTTCTTCTTTTGAGGCAATTAATAATAAAATAATTAGTCGTGCAATGAACTGTTCAAAAATTTTATTTTAATTGACAAAGAAAAACAATTAGTTGATTATTGCTAATTAATGACAGAAAATGGCTAATTTTGGTAGGAATTTAAATTCAATAAATAAATTTCTCGTGCTTATTAGAGAAGATTTATTTTTTAAAAAATTAAGTGCATGAAGGGTATTTTTTAAATATAATATTTCTAATTTTTTTTAAGCGTTTTTAAGTTAATAATTATATATTTTAAATCAAATATTAACTTTAAAATTAATATTTTTAAAACTTTTAAAAAATTTAAGGGAATTATTGGAATTTTTAAAAATTTAAAAGTAATTTTAAATAAAATACAAGATTTAGGGTACTTTTTTTATATTAATTTAGCTTTATATATATATCTTTATTACTTTATTTACTTTATTTACTTGTTGGGTATGAAAACTATATTATATTTTTGTTTATAAAATATTATTAACTTGTTTTGTATATGTTTTTGAAAAATATTATATTAAAAAATAAAAATTAACCATTAAATACAAATTTTTTTAAAAAAATGAAAAAAAATATTTAATTTCGGAAAAGAAAAAAAAAAGTGCTTATTTAAAAATAAAAATAAATGTACAAGGTTAGACGAACACATCTCTCCATAATGGTATGATTTTGCCCACTTTGAGCATAAGCTCCCGTGGTTCTGCTCCGGGCTTTCCAAGAGGTGTCATGAGTATTATTTGTTTATAAACCTATAATCATTTCCTAAATTAGTCGATGTGAGACTTTCATCATCCAACCTATAGAACATGGAGTTTGGGTGGCGGATTGTGGTGGGCACGGTGATAGGATTCATTGGAGGGGCATTCGGGAGCGTTGGTGGTATCGGCGGAGGCGGCTTTTTCCTTCCAATGCTTAACCTCATAATTGGGTTCGACGCCAAATCCTCCACCGCCATATCCAAATGTAAGAAGCAAAGGTTACGAAGCTTTAAAGTTGTTGAATTAAAATTGATTCATAATGATTTGGTTTGAGCTTATTATAGGTATGATAGTGGGTGCCGCAGTCTCCACTGTGTACTTTAACCTTCACCTAAGGCACCCCACGCTTGATGCGCCCATAATTGACTACGATTTGGTGCTCCTGGTCCAGCCCATGCTCATGCTTGGCATAAGTATTGGAGTCATTTTCAATGTCATTTTTCCTAATTGGATGGTCACAATTCTCCTCATCATCCTTTTCTTATGTAAGCCTCTTTTTTTTTTTTTTTTTTGGGTTAAATTACGATTTTGATCCTGAAAATCTTTAAATTAGTCGTTATTGTTCGGTTTTTTGTTCTTGGTATCTGATTCTGTTCATTTTTTTGTTCGTTTCTTTGGAAGTCATGTCTATCGAGGCGTTCATTAGGGGAGTTGAAACTTGGAAGAAGGAAACGCTCCTAAAAAGTCTTTAAATTAGTCGTTATTGTTCATTTCAATGTATTTTTTTGTTTAATTTTTTGTTCTTTGCATCTGATTCTATTCATTTTAGTTCGTTTTTTTGGAAGTTATATCTATCGAGACGTTCATTAGGGGAGTTGAAACTTAGGGAAACGCTCCTAAAAAGTCTTCAAACTAGTCGTTATTGTTCGTTTCAATGTATTTTTGTGTTCGGTTTTTTGTTCTTTGCATTTGATTCTATTCATTTTTTGTTTGTGTTTTTTTTGGAAGTCATATCTAACGAGGCATTCATTAGGGCAGTTGAAACTTGGAAGAAGGAAACGCTCCTAAAAAATCTTTAAACTAATCGTTATTGTTCGTTTGAATGTATTTTTGTGTTCGGTATTTTGTTCTTTGCATCTAATTCTATTCATTTTGGTTCGTTTTTTTCTAAGTCATATCTACTAAGGCGTTCTTTAAGGGAGTTGAAACTTGGAAGAAGGAAACGCTCCTAAAAAAGGTTTTAGTTCTCTTCTTATTTCTTTACTTTGTCTAAATTTCTTCCAATTTGGTTTGAGTTGGGTCGGGTTGTGTTTGATTTAGGACGCCATCAAGCTCGTGAGCGGGTCCGCAGGTGAGTTTCATAAATTATGAATCAATATTGATAACCCTAATTACCTTAATTAATTGAAATTACCATTAATTAAAGTCGTTAATTTATAATTAGGGTCCGAAAGTGGAGAGGAGTACGAGGCTCTTCCTGGTGGGCAAACAGAAGTAAGTTATTTATTTATTGAATAATTAATTACAATTAATAAATTATTTATTTATTTATTTATTTATTGAATTTCAGGTCTCGATTCTCAAGAATGTGTATTGGAAGGAATTGGGTCTTCTTTTCTTTGTTTGGATTGCATTTCTTGTACTCCAGATTTTCAAGGTTTCATTTCAGCTTAATTTAGCATAAATTTAACTAGAATTTATAAAAGAAACTAAATTTTTAATTTTTTTAATTTTTTAACTTTTAAATATAATAATTTACTAAAACTTTAATTTTGAGTTTATTAAAAATAATAATAATTAACCAATCCATTATATTTAAATTGAATTTTAAGTGTAATAAACCTCTTAAATTTTTAATATATATAATTCTAATCTGTAATTTTAAAAAATATTAAATAAAGTAAAGACGTATTAAATACAAATATCAAATAAATACATATTTAAACTATTTATTTACCATTTGATGGATTTTTTTCAACAGGAGAAATCAGCGTCGTGCTCGTGGGAATATTGGACGTTAAACTTTCTACAGGTGCCAGTATCTGTGGGCATATATTTGTACGAGGCAATTAACCTGTACAAAGGGCGAAGGATAATCACATCCTTGGGAGAACGTCGAATCGATTTTCGAGCTGGGCAACTTGCCATGTACGCTTGCCTTGGCATGTCGGCTGGCATCGTCGGCGGTTTGCTCGGCGTCGGTGGAGGATCGATCATGGGGCCATTGTTCTTGGAGCTCGGAGTGCATCCACAGGTCACAATTTTATTTCTATTCACTTCGGTTAAGTTATAAGTTTAGTTATTGAAGTTTCATTAAATTTTTAATATTTATATAATAAGTCTCTGATGATAAATGTTTAATAAGTTTATTTAATTTATTAAATAAAAGTTAAAAAGTTTATATAATTTTAAAAAATTATAAGATAAATATTTTAAATTTAAATGTTGATTTTCTGACCTGGCTTAGTTTGGGCTACCTTTTGCATAGGTGGCAAGTGCATCGGCAACCTTCGCTATGATGTTTTCGTCATCAATGTCTGTGGTGGAGTACTACCTCCTCAACCAGTTTCCAGTGCCATACGGTAATTTTGTTTGAGAAGAGGATTGTCGGGACGACGAGTCCCAAGTTTTTGATACATGAAAATAATCATGTTAATTAATTTTTTTTTTTTTGTAGCGGTTTATTTGGCTGCAGTGGCGATGGTTGCAGCCTACTGTGGGCAGTACGTTGTGGGTAAAATTATTGCTTTCCTTGGAAGAGCTTCGATCGTTATCTTCGTTCTTGCGATCTCGATCTTCATAAGTGCTCTCACGCTCGGTGAGTTTCCAAACCATTTTTCATTACATTTTTTAAAATGTTATATTATAACTTTTTTTTTCTTAAAAACTTTAATTTTGAATAAATTTTGTGTTTGATAGGATTTTTTTATATAAAAAATTAAAATTTATGTTGTGTCTTATTCTCTTTTTTTAATGGCAAATAAATCGGAGACTAATTAGATAAAAAAAAAATATGACAAATATATTAAACATGACATTTAAAATTTTAATTATTTAAAAATTAAATTTGTGGTTTAAACAATTTTTTAATTTATTTATTGTTTTTAAGATTAGTTTTAAGTGATATTATTAATATTTATTTATTGTTTTGCAAGGTGGAGTGGGTATATCAAGGTCCTTGGAACGGCTTCAACGAAATGAATATATGGGTTTCGTGGATTTGTGTCGAGTTAGGGATTAGGTTTAAATTAATATTTTTACTCCGTTTTTAAATTAAATGTCATTATTGTTAAGATTCGAACTTTAATATTTTAATTAAGGTTATAATGATTTAACCAGTGAATTATACTTAAAATGAGATAAATAATTTAATATTGTTATTAAATGTTATTAACCATGGATATATATATATATATATATATATATAATATAAAAATATCAATTAAAAATATTTTATATTATCGATATATTAATGTCAAACGACTAAAACGTCCATCCTATTTGTGAAATTTGCTAAATATACCAATATATTTTTTTATTGTGGGTTAAATTAAACGACTAAAATCGGGCCTAGCAAAGGACCAACTCGATCATCTCACAAGGGTCGATCAAACTATGGTTAACTAGGGCCATTCTCCATATAGGCTCAATCTAGGTCTAACGACGCTTGCATTGGTTGACCCGAGTCAAATCGTAGATTGACCTCAACTTAACGTGACGTGAACAGTCTCTCGAAACCTTAATACACTCCTTACACATATCTTTAAAAAAATCATAATTCATTTTTGTAAACAATGGATAGGAATTGTATCTTCGAGATATGCTCACAAAAACCCTAGCTTTTGCTGCACTTCATGGCACCGCCTAGTTCTATATATTGTACTATATTAGATACCATGGTTAACCATGGTTATTATCCATATGGGCCCAATCTAGGTCTAACGACGCTTGCATTGGTTGATCCGAGCCGAATCGTAGACTGACCTCAACTCAATGTGACATGAACACGCCTCTCGAAACCTTAATGCACTCCTTACGCATATCTTAAAAAAAAAAAATCCTAGTTCATTTTTGTAAACAACGGGTAGGAACTATATCTTCGAGATATGCTCACAAAAACCCTAGCCTTTGGTGTTCGAGGCACCGCCTACTTCTATATATGGTACTATATTAGATAAGATTCGTTTAGTGGATTGTGCATATGGGAGACGAGTTAGCTACATTCATTTATTTAAATTACATTATTAAAATAAGAAGAAGAAAAAAACCTTAAAAATAGATGGGAAATCTTGTCGTAATTGCGTAACGGAAATTTTCCTCCGTGAGTCGCCGGATTAAATATATATTATTCACGCTATCCTGGAAAATCGGTGTCCGATTAAAATCGCACACAGAAGACCAATCTCTCTCTATTCTCCCGAATTGAAAACCCTAATTCGTTCTTTTCTCTACATTTTTGTTCTTGCGAGCGTCGAGCATAACGAAATCGAAGCACCATGGTTTTCTATTTCAAAGCTCGGCCCGACGTCGGCGATTACACCATTTTCATGGGGCTCGATAAGCACGAGAACGAGGAGCTCATCAAATACGGCTTCCCCGAGGATATCTGGTAATTTTTCGTTAAGGTTTTCTTTATTGTTTCTGTTTCTTTCTTCGGTTGTTATTTGATGTTAATTTCATTCGGATTGGATGAAAACGATTTCTCAGAATTAATCAAGTCAGGTAGAAGTGTTGATGTTTTCGTTCTTGCTTGATGGTTTTCGAAATTGATATTCGAATTCCTCGACTTGAATGCTACGTTATTTTGTGCGGTTGCTGCTGGCTTTGATTTATATAAAAATGGTAGCCATGGCCATCCCTGGTTCTCTTTTCAGAGCTCGATGAAACTGAAAATTAACATTATGAAGGGAATGAGTTTCTTGTCTGCATTGATACCTTGAATTTTGTTTGCGTAATCCTTATCCAGTGATACTGGACTTGGATTTATCTTTTTCTTGAATTTTGTTACTCTTAATTTTCATTTTAGGGAGGATTTGGCTTAAGATTTCTTCTCTGAACAAAGGTTGTTTCGTGTAGGTTTCACGTGGACAAGATGTCGTCTGCCCATGTTTATGTGAGACTGCGAAGAGGGCAGACCATTGATGATATAAGTGAAGGGTTGCTGGAGGATTGTGTTCAGCTTGTCAAAGCAAATTCTATTCAAGGTAGAAATTGAGCAGTCTATTTCTAGAAAATAAAAAAATGATGAACAAGTGAACTAGGTTTGCCTGTATTTTCGTCCTTCAATTGGAACTTTAAGACGCATGTGCACGTTTCTGCGGATGACAGTGAAATTGTGTCGCAAGTTAGGAGCCTTTTAACTATTGGCCCTTTTTTCTGGCAGGAAACAAGGTAAACAACATTGATGTCGTGTATACGCCTTGGGCTAATTTGAAAAAAACTGCTTCCATGGATGTTGGCCAAGTTGGTTTTCATAACCCCAAGATGGTAAGGTTCATAGTTTGAATTTGGCGAGTTGATATGTCCCTACGGTTATTTTTTCTTGTCTTTCTTTATTGTTTTAAATAAGTTTTTGTGCATCTTTTATGGATGGGAATATTAAAGGTGATTTACACAACCTTTGTCTTTGTATACAATTCAGGTCCGAACCGTAAGGGTGGAAAAACGGATCAATGACATTGTCAATAGATTGAACAGGACTAAAGTGGAAAGGAAGCCTGATTTGAAAGGTAAATTGGAAATGACATTGTTGTTTTATGTTGTCTTCACCTTTTGCATATGCACGTTTTTTTGTTAACTCAAATATGCTGTCGCTATTCCTAGCACGTTTAGGCACAACTAGTATGAGCTTCACTGTAATGATCCAAGTCCACCGCTAGCGGATATTGTCCTTTTTGGGTTTTTTCCTTCTGGGCTTTCCTTCAAGGTTTTTACAACGCATATGCTAGGGAGAGTTTCCACACCCTTATAAAGAGTGTTTCGTTCTCCTCCCCAACCGGGGTGGGATCTCACATTCACATATTTTGTTGGTTTGTTTTTTATTATTATTATTTTCTTTTTTTTGTATAAAATAGTTAACGAACACTTTGTTTTCCGCTACACAGCTGAACGCGAAGCTGTGAATGCAGCTGAAAGAGCAGAGAGGAAGCAACACCTGAGAGAAAAGGTTGGTGTCAATTTTTTTGTTCCATTTCTGAATTAACTCCTTTTTGTGGTCTCTACATCTTGGATTTCTATGTTTTAGCTTTTCTGAAATTTCCGCATAGATAGTTTGGCCATGTCTTTACTTACACACAGCAAGATTTACTCCTCTGTGAAACGAAATTCCTTTTGTCAAATATTTTGCAAGTGACTACGATCATATTGATCATTTGGCAGCGTATGTTATTATGTTTAGTCTCTATCAAATCTATTAGTCCGACTCGGTTTTGTTGCCTAGGTCAGGTGGTTTTCTCGAAGTATTATGATTTTTTTTTTTTTTTTTATATCTCGCTGTAGTGAAGTTTCCTTTTTACAGAAACGCCGCGAGGAAATGGACAGGTTAGAAAAAGAGAGGCAAGCTGAGCTAAGGAGCTACAGTGGTTTGATGGTCTCTGAGAAGATGACATCTAACAAACAAATTGCAGCGGCAAACAAATCGCTACAAGAGCTGGAGGACGATTTCATGTGATCGAATTGATCAGTACAAATGCTGCAAAAAAAATAGCAGCAGCTAAACTTACTCTTCTTAGAGGTCATTTGCCCATTCAGTTTATGGTTCTGTCCTCTCACAGGTGATCAAATCGTCTTTAGCCTCGATGATATTCAACTTGGCGTCTACTTGATGACTATACAAATAGAAAATCGAGAGCGGAAAAATGGTCTTCTTTAAGTTGTAATTACTGTCACACTCTTGTTTAACGAGACGATAAGTTGGCTCGTTTTGGCGTACTTTTGCTTTTCAAATATACTGTAAGAAAAAGGAAAGCTACTGCGTTTTGGGTATGGATCTTCTTTTCTGGTTTTATAATGAGTGATTCATTATCTTTCTGGGTCTTTGCTTGCCTTTCCCACAAGTCGATCGTACTAAAAAGAAGGGCCCATTCGTTCCCCTTTTCTTTCTTTTTCATTGTCATTTGAATGCTTTGGTTGACTCTCTGTGTGTTCTCTTGTATTATTATCCTCCCAAGATGGAATGGACGGTGTCATAGTTTGGTTCTACTTGGTTTTAGCACTATCATTGAATACCTATTATTTTGCTTGGCGTCTAGATGGGCTTACTAGTTGGGGTCGTTATACAGGATGTTGCTATGGAATTGAGCCTATTCCTGTAGAAGAAAATCAATTTATTGCTTAAATTGTTCATTTTGCTTGGCTTCTAGATGGGCTTACTAGTCGAGGTCGTTATATAGGAGGTTGCTATGGAATCGAGCCTATTCTTGAAAAAGAAAATCAATATATTGCCTTGTTCATTTTACTTGGCTTCTAGATGGGCTTACTAGTCGAGGTCGTTATATAGGTTGTTGCTATGGAATCGAGCCTATTCCTGAAGAAGAAAATCAATATATTGCTTAAATTGTTCATTTTGCTTGGCTTCTAGATGGGCTTACTAGTCGAGGTCGTTATATAGGATGTTGCTATGGAATCGAGCCTATTCCTGAAGAAAAAAAATCAATATATTGCTTATATAGTTGAAGAATGTGGTTTTGTTATAAATTGAATTAGATAGGTCTGTGTTTGACTTTGGTAAAAGGTAAATCTATTTTTTATTTTAAAAAAGTTTTTTACCTATAAATATTGATTTTGAATTTGATAAAAAAATAATTAGGATTTTACACTATGATAAAAATAATTTTAATTATTTTTTAAATATATATCTTCGTCAAAATTATTTTTTTTTCTCGTACCATTTATTATATTAAAATTATAAATTTAGCCTTCGTTAGTATTTAGTTTTTAACCATAAAATTACTGACTAATTTTTTGAATTTTTTAAAATTTTAGATATAAATATAAATTTAAATTACTGATTAATTTTTAAATTTTGGAATTTTGAGTTTTTGATACAAAATTGAAACTAAACATAGCAGGACAGCGCATGTCACACGTGTCTAAATTCTAATCGTCCAATTTCCAAACGTCGTGTCATCCTAGCCGCTGGTTTTGAATCTCTTCAGTCCGCCCGTTTATGTTTGAACAGAACTCCGAACCGTTTAAATTGTCGCCCTCAAGTTTTTAAGCCATTTCGCTCTCTTTATTAGTACCTCTATTCTTTTGTTTTGGCGCCTTCGTTCGTTCTTCTTATCAAATTTCTGCTCCTTGACTTCTCCATTGGAATTCTCTAATGTGTCCTGTTTTTAATCGCTGCATCGATTTTCTGTTCTCGATTAATCTGCGCTTCGTCGCTCGACGCTGATTTCGGTGAGTTGCGTAGGGTTTTTTTGGTTAAACTTTGTTGAAGTTCCATTCATTTTATGATCTTCGCGTCGGTTTTAATTTTATTCGCTTCTTTTCGAAATTCCTTAAGCATTTCAAGTTTGTGAACTCTGTAGTTTTTCTTTTCCATCTATTTTGAGTGATTAACCTGTGGACACCATGAAATGCTCTCGATCTTGTCCTCGTTGTGGTACTAGTTTATACGAACTTAGGTACTGTGGCGTTTTCCTTTTATGGAGTTTGATTCTGCAATTTTAATCACTTATCTGATCTTTTTCGCTGTTTTTTACGGCCGTAGAAATTGATTTTTTCTTTTTATTTAGTTGCTTCTCTGATGCTTGTTGCTTACAGTCTCAATTGGCTCTTGGCAGTCATTTTCTTCATCTTGAGGTTTGGAGTATGGTCAATAGGTTTTGATGGAAGTATCATGCATTGCGCGAGTTTTAATCAAGGAGATTGATAGCTTATTCCTTTTTTCTTGAAGTTGGATTCATTTGTTATACCTTTCAGTTTCTTTTCTTGATATTGATTTAGAGTTGATTTTAGTAATTAACTCTGCATGATTAGGCATTTTTCCTCACGTAGCGTGAATTTTGTGAATATCGATTACATTCATCTTGTCTCTGGAGGAATATCTAATTTCATATGCTTCACTTCATTTCTCGTACAAAGACTTCCTAAAGAAACTTTTCCATCGAAATTACATCCAGAATCTGTTCTGACGGCTGATTTACAATATCATTGATTGATCCAAAGATCCTGTTGAGCTCAGATTTTATACTCCTTTGAAAGGCTAGGATTAAACATTACCTTTTGGTTTCTTTCTTGCCTCTGAATAATGATTATCCACATGTATATATTCTAGCTACTGCCGTATGTTCTATTTTCTCGTACTGTTTTTTGTTCTACTGCCTGCAAATTTTGACAATGTGATGTTTCTTGTTCAGAAAATTTCAGATGAAATGGTAGATTTTTCTATATATGAATAATATAATGGTCTGGATAGCGTTCTTTATAACAAGCCATTGCCGAGTAGGAATAAGGATATTATGCATTTTCCCCTACATGTCAAGGAGTTATGGAAGGTGATAAAACCATCTCAACACCTTCGGACAATCCTGAGATTGGAGATCAGAGGATACGTGCTCTCCATGGGTAATTTCATTGATCTATATTACTTTTGGCTCCAAATTGCTTCTTATTCTGCAAGCTTTATAGTCTCTCTGTTTGCACTTTACTTAATCGTTTCCTTGTAAGTTTTGTAAATCTTCTGAACCAAAATTTTCAGCATAACTCATATAAGCACTGGTATTCTTTCCTCTGACTTCATTTATGACTGGAGAGGAATATCTGTAACTAGCTTGTTGTAATTCTGCCTTTAGCTTCTTGTAATTTTCCTGTCTTTCTTTTCATTTTGCACCGATAAATGTTTGTAATTTAATTTTTTTTGGTTCAACACGAATTATTTTTTACTGCTGCAGTTTTATGTTTGAATTGACTTTCTCTCCTGTACCACACATATTCTTATACTGTTTCTTCACATTAGTATTTGTTGGAAGACAAAAACTAAATTCTCTGCTGAACTCTATGTATGTTGTTTGAGAGGATGTTTAGGAGAACCAGTGGCCCTACAAGACGTTCAACCAAAGGACACTGGACACCGGAAGAGGTAAGTTTATCATTCATCATAGTGGGCTGCAATATTTCTCTCTGATGATACATTTTGTTTTGAACTATTTTTTTAGTTCCAAAACTTATATGCTTGAGCGTTGGATAATCTATTTTACTCACATCCAGGATGAAATTTTGCGGAAAGCAGTTGATCATTTCAAAGGCAAAAACTGGAAGAAAATAGGTATTAATTATCAAATATATTACGATTTGCAGGGTGTTGACATATTACAGAAGCCAAGGATAGGTTTTATTGGACCGAAGATGTTTTTGTTTTTTGTCATCCTTAACATAATGGAGGATTTCTTCAGTGATTGTGATCTAGGAACTTAATTCATGTTTACTTTATGATATATAAAGTTTTTTTTTTATGGTATCTAATTAATTCTATTCTGGATGATTAGACAACCTAATTAATCATGCATTGTCGAAGGAGGCTGTATTCGAAGATGAATTATATTTTGCATAGACTAATATGTAACTTTTGTTTCATTACTGGTTCATTTGTTATGTTGTTTGTTGTTTGTAGCTGAATGTTTCAAAGACCGGACTGATGTACAATGTCTGCATAGGTGGCAAAAGGTTTTAAATCCCGAACTTGTCAAAGGTCCATGGTCTAAAGAGGTGATCCACGTGTGAAAGTTGTTTTTAAGTTTATTCTATTCCAGTCATCACGATACTTAATCAGCATGAACATACCTGTTTCCCTCGTGAATTGTTTGTAGGAGGATGAAACTATTGTTGAACTGGTGAATAAATATGGACCAAAAAAGTGGTCCACAATTGCAAAACATCTACCCGGACGAATTGGTAAGCAATGCCGAGAAAGGTATGACCATTGAGTTATTTTGTTGCTGATTTATGGATTTTGATTTTCCTGTTATACTTATATTCTCTTTGGTAAACTCCCTCTGCTGAAAATTTCTTTTATGGAAGCCAGTGTGTTTTTTTGTTGCCATCAATTTGAACTTTTCCTGCATCCGTACTTGATCTTCTATTAAAATTTCAGATGTCCTTCCCGTATGTTTTACATAAATTATATCTTTTTTGTCAGGTGGCACAATCATCTTAATCCTAATATAAACAAAGAAGCATGGACCCAAGAAGAGGAGTTAGCTTTAATTCGCGCCCATCAAATTTACGGGAACAGATGGGCAGAGCTAACAAAGTTCTTACCTGGAAGGTATGTCCCATTTGTAGCTTAAGGTTGGGGCATTATGCGGAATTGACGTGCATTTTAAATTTTGTTTCTTTAAATGTTTTTAGATTAAAGTTGTTACCATCTAAACTTTTTTTGGATTTCTTTTCATTGCAGCATTATTCTCTAGAACTGCATTTCTTTTCATTGCAGCATTATTCTCTAGAACTGCATTTCTTTTCAGTTTTAATTGGAAAATTTTCAACTGATCATGAAAGATGTTATGTTTGTGCTTTTACAATCAACAGGACAGACAATGCTATAAAAAATCATTGGAACAGTTCTGTCAAAAAGAAATTGGATTCTTACTTGGCCTCAGGCTTGCTCTCACAACTTCAGGATCCAATTTCTGTTGGACAACCCAACCAACTTCTTGCTTCATCTTCAAAGGTGCTTGGTAGTGGAAATGACAGTGGCTCGTATGGAATGGAAACAGAGGAGATTTCAGAGTGTAGTCAAGATGCAACAGTTGCCGATAGCTTTATGATTGATTCAGCATGTGAAACTCTGCATATGAGAAAGGAAGTTCAATTAATTGAGGATTTGGGGTTGGGTAAGGAGCAAAGTTCCAGCCCAATATCCTGTTCTGAACCTTACTACCACCACCACCCTGCCATGGAAGAAATAACTTGTCCCATAGCTGAGTTTGATCAAGAAGTGGGTCACTGTTTGTCACCTTCAGAGAAAAATCCCTCGCATGATTGTAGAACAACTTCAAATAGGGAGTACCAATGTCATTTGAATGAGTTTCCTAACATCTCTTCGTTACAATTGGATAAAGAAGCACCCCAGTTTGAAGCAATTGGTACTGGGATGGGCGAAAGCCATGGAGCTGGCAGTTCTTCTCAAAATCCTTCAATGGTAAAAGGAGCTACGGCTTCTGTCCAAATAGAGTGCAGGTTTATATCTGACGATGAGTTTTGCAGGGTTCTATTCTCAGATTCAAAAAGTGACCAATGCAATCTGTCTATTAATCTTAAAAAAGGCTCTTACGTACCTGAAATGTGCGATTTCGAAGTTCCAGTTCAATCCTTGGGCACACGAAAAGTGGAAAATAACCATTCTTCAGCTTCCCAAGTATATGATTATCCTTCAGGATCGGATGTGCAGGAAAAATATTTGTTGCCTCAATCCTGTATGCACATTCCATCCGTGGTTTCTGTTAATAATGAAATGATTTTATTAGGTGGTAGTGGATCCAATAAGCTCTTCGTAGGAGCCCGAGAACACGAATGCATAACTAGCCAAGAGAATGGATTCGTCTATGATGCTGGAACATCCAGGCCTTCCTGTTTTCATGTGACAGGTAACCCAGAAATGCAAGAACAAAGCACAGGGACTTGTTCCCATGAAAGACCAAAACCACATAATGAACATCTAGACTCAGGAGTTCTATGTTATGAGCCTCCTCGTTTTCCAAGTTTAGATGTTCCCTTTTTCAACTGTGATCTCATACAAGCTGGAAGTGAAATGCAGTACAGCCCACTTGGTATACGTCAGTTGATGATGTCTTCTCTAAACGGTGTTACTCCATTTAGATTATGGGATTCTCCATCTCATGATACTAGTCCAGATGCTGTACTTAAAAACGCTGCCGAAACTTTCTCGAGTACTCCATCCATATTGAAGAAACGGCATCGCGATTTTCTGTCTCCTCTTTCTGAAAGAAGAATTGACAAAAAACTTGAAACCGTTGTGACATCCAGATTGACAGAAAACTTCTCACGTTTGGATGTTGTGTTCAAGGATGGACCAGAAAGTACTGAAGATAAAGAAAATATGCATAGTACGTTTGAGAAGAAACAAGGGACTGCTGATGTCCAGATATGCGTTCAATCCACAGCTGAAATTGTAAGCCATATTTCAGCAATCTTCTTGAAAGATGATTATTTTAATTATATTGAGCAATCAATCAAGTTTACTTCTGGCAGGTGGCTTCTGGAGTCCTGGTTGAACATGATGCCAATGATCTGCTACTCCATTCTGTTGATCAAAACACTCTCAGTTCAAGTGCAAGAATTAAGAAACGACACTCTTCCGAGAATTTACATGGACCGAGCAGCACTCCTAATTACTGCAAGAATCATCCAGAAAGCGATTCGGTCGCAACAATGTGCGAACTCCCGGTCATTTTATCGGCTTCTGTTAAGAAGACGGATGATAATCGTCCGCAGATTGCCACCACCGGAATTGCTTCATTGTAAGATACATCCTCCTCCCTATCTCTAATGCATTTTTTTCTATTAGGGACTTTAATGGACATTTCTGTTATCATGTTCTAGACCTGGTGAAACTCCAGTTAAGAGAAGTATTGATTCCCCTTCGGCTTGGATGTCACCTTGGTTCTTCAATTCCTTCCTGCCCGGTCCAAGGATCGATACAGAAATCTCGATCGAGGTAGTTAGTTGTTTAGATTCCTTCTGATTAAGCTGCAGTTGTGCCAGAAATTTGTGTAAATAATAGATTTTGATCAGTATTGTTGGATTTGTTTGTGTTTTTAGGACATTGGATATTTTTCTAGCCCCAAGGAAAGAAGCCTTGATGCAATTGGGTTAATGAAGCAAGTGTGCGAGCGAACGGCAGCTGCCTGTGCCAGTGCCCATGAAGTGTTGGGAAACGAAACTCCAGAGACACTACTCAGAGGATCGCGCATGAAGCATCGCCATTGTGATGAAACTGTTCTGGTATGATTCTCTTAACAAAAGGGGCAGCTTCAATCATTTAAATTCACAATACATAAAAATCAGATTGAGCTATATTGAGTAAATCAAAATTCAGAACACAATAATAAAACCTTACAAACTACTTTTTATTATATAGGTGATAAGTTAATTTGTTTTGTTATCTACTTTTTATAATATATGGTTCCAAAATTATGTTTTGAAAACTAAAAAAAGTAATTAAAAACATGTTCTTAATTGATTTTATATTGTATTGCGAAGAATTGTAAGCAGAAGCTATTTTACATTTTCAGGCGGAATGTCGGACGTTGGATTTCAGCGAATGTGGCTCTCCAGGTGAAATGAGCACATGAAAACTACATATAGCAAGTCCCCCGACTTATCTTCTCAATGGCTGCATATAGCAATTTATTGGTACCAACTTCAACTCGCCTTTCAATTTTCCAATGTCTTTTAGTGTAGTAATATCATCAATAATCAATGCCATTTAAACAAGATACTATTTGTAAATTTGAATGATATGATCAACTTTAAAAGCCTTTCATCAAGGCATATTTGCCCGCTGGGGTATCTCTCAAAATACTACAAAACAAGTTTTTGAGCGTTTCAATGACAACAAATTGGCTTCCAGTGAGAAAGCAAGAATTTTATTCAAAAGTGAAAGGGGGATGATGATGTGCTGTGCGATGTGCTGTGCGTGCTGGCTGCTTCTTCCAACAAAACTAAACGACACGAGTTACGGCTGCATGGATTCCATCCGCAAGGTGAGGGACGGTCCTCGAGCTCAATCCAGCCATGCTGATTCTCCTGCGCAGGTAACAGTCAAATGAACAAATGTTCAAAAACAAAACCAAAATGTTTCGATTTCATGTCTCACTTTTCTCTTTTGTCTTAACTTAAGATATTAAATTTTTGGACTAAAAAATTTATGTTTAATACGAACTCTTAACCTATAAACAAAAGACTTTGAACACAACAAAAAAGAAGTTATACATAATATGTTCGATATAAGAACATGTTTTTAGGTAGAATTTTAATTTTCATTTTCAATGTTTTTGGGTAGAATTTTAATTTTCAAATTCCCATGGCGCATTTAGTTCCTCTTTTCAATAAAAACTTGTCACTTACTTTTCAATGTTTTTAGGTAGAATTTTAATTTTCAAATTACTTTTCAATGTTTTTAGGTAGAATTTTAATTTTCAAATTCCTATGGTTAGGAATGTGCATTTAGTTCAATAAACGAAAGAAAAAGGCAATTTTAAAACAAGTTTCTGGTTTTAAAGATTTAAAAACGAAAACATTCCAGGTGATAAAAACTGCGTTCTGATAGCACATACTTGAAATGAATGGCATTTTGGCAGAATTTTAAAGCAAAATTGAAACAAGGCTGCTTACCCATCAGAAGTCATGTATATGTGATATTCTTTGGTCATGAAGCTAACTTGTTCTGGGTTCAGTCCTGTGAAAGTAAACATTCCAATCTGCTTGATGATGTGACTCCAGTCACCAGGTGTACCTGCCACACACACCATTTTCATGATAACTCAGCACCACATCCTCTCTCTACACACGCGACCAAAACATTACCATCCTTTGTTTCTGCCATTGATTCTAAATACAATATTGTATTCCAAATCTCCAACATAACCAAGCTTCTAAATCTTACATTCTTTAAATTAACCCATACCACACGAAGTATATCTAAAAGGTAAAAACTAAATCAAGTAATAGCTTTTTTTTTTTCTTTTTTTAGTTTTAAAACTATTCATTTAATCGAGAATTCTCCTTGTTAGCTTAATGGAGAGGAATAGCTAGCTTAAATGAAACGAGAGACAAGAATTATATTTCTATCCTTGAACGCTTCACATTTTATATATAAATACAAATTTATCTATATAGGCATAAAACCAACTTGAAGTATATATATATATATTTATTTATTTATATTATTTAGGTACAAATTGACTTCTTTACTTACCCCATAAATAAATAAATAAATATTTTTTTTAAAAGTGGGGAAGTCTTTTGGTAGATAATTGAAATTTAAGCATTTTTTATAATTATGTTTTAACTTTATATTATATATGGATTTATTAGATGTTCAACCATTTTTTAGTAAGAAAATATAAAAAAGAATATTGAAGAAAGAAAATTATCTATTAAAAGATTTAATAGGAAAATGAAAAAATATTCCTGCTAACTAATCATGGTCAAGGTTTTTTCTTTTACTTTAGTTGATTTAGATCCAGGGAACATTTGCAAAAAATTGAGAGATCAAGATTATTGGCGTCGACCATCGACCATTATGAAACTTTTAAATCAATAATACTTAAAGAACATGTAAATACTAGCAGGGATATCAGGAGAATAAATACTAACCTCTAGCGCGCAAGGCATCAAAAAGTTGCTGACGCATGCTAATAATGCGGTCTGCCATGGCCTTCAACTCAATAGTCCATTCATCGAACAAATTCCTAAAGTTCAAGTGAAGAAATCGATTTCATGATGCATGAACGGTTAAATATAATTTTTCGAGAAAGGATTTCTACATGAGCATCTTGCATGTATGTTTCACTTTCCCAATCTCAGTTGGGGTAACATAAAAAGTTTTTATTAGTACCTGTCCTTCAGGATTGTGGCAACAATGGATGCACCATGAATGGGTGGGTTTGAGTACATGGGCCTTATCACCAGTTTTAGCTGACTCTCTACCCTGCTTGCAACCTCAGCATTCTTGCAGACCTGTTCAACAGTTACAAAGCGTGAGATCAAAGCAATAAAGCTGGGATACCAACTCAGACCCCATACCATCCATCTTCATGCCTAAAAGGAAAAAAAAACAAAGAGAAATTCAAGCGAAAACAAAGAAGTTCCCGGAGAAGGGAAGGAAAGAGGCAATGGAATTGCGAGACCGATAGGGAGAGGAGCTGTTTTGATTTGCTAAGATCAGCTGGCCGGTCATCCGGATAAGGGAAAGTTAATAGAGAAGCGACATCTTTCCCCACTGATGATCGGAAAAACCACTCTTTTTTTTTTTTTTTTTCTTTCCCCATCTCTCTTGGAACGTTCATTCCTTGTAATCAAAATCCTATATCTTTTGTAATCAAAATCCTATATCTAAACCTTGTTCTTGCTACTTAGGGACTCTAACTCCTAGAAGTCGAACTTCCTCGCAGGTAGGGAGAATTGGTTCACACTACAACGGGTCATAATATTTGTGTTTGGGTTAAAGGAAAAGGTACCTTTTGAATCTTTCCTTCTAAATGTTAACTCGATTTTATCCTTAGTAATATTAGCAAAAAAGTAGCTAATTCCACGAATAAAATGTACAATTTTCTAGAGTGCAAGAATATATAATTTCAAAAGACACTAGGTGGGAGTGTAACGTCTATAATTTAATTCTCAATTTGTAATAGAACCTTCTTTCATCATTAATATCACACGAACTCCATTAACTAATGATTAAATCAATGAAGATATGATGTTCCATGGCATCCCAATGAAGTAAGAACACTCTTTTAGAAACTTACAATGCTTAAAGCGCCAACACGTTCGCCATAAAGCCCCAAGTTCTTTGCATAACTCTGGGCTACGAAACATTCACCTCCATCAGCAACAAATAATCGTACAGGTTGTGCATCCGTATCCAAACTTCCACTGGCAAAACCCTGGATCATAAGAAGCAAAAATATCAGAAAAACTGATACGCACATGTATGAAGCTTGTTAAGAAATGTCATTTTTCATTTTATACAATGTAGAACTCTACCTGATAAGCACTGTCAAAGAAAGGTAAAAGCTGTTTTGATCTCATCAACTTCCTGATCTGATCCCATTGTTCAAGGGTTGGATCGACACCAGTTGGATTATGAGCACATGCATGAAGCAGAACTATAGCTCCAGGTGGAGCAGAACCTAGATCTTCCAAGAGGCCTGTGACACATTAATGTTGGTAGACCAAGAAGTAAGAAATGGTAAGGAACTGGCATTCTCAACATCAAAATTTCAGTAACAAATCATCTTGAATCACTCTCTTATGTCACCAGTTGGAACTGTAGTGACTTGTTCAAGTCGAGAATAATTAAATTGTGCCAGCATTTCCATAACAGATAAAACACAACGGAAGTCAAAATGGAGATAGAACGAAGAAAAAAATCTTTGGAAGTGTCACAGGGTACGGGTTTGAACCTTGAAAATTCAGCCCTCGTGTTGAGGGATCATAATACCGGTAAGTTTTTACAGACAGCCCAGCCAGAGTAAAAACTTTGGGATGGTTTCCCCATGTTGGCAGGGGAATGTATATTTGCCGCTGGAATACATGAAAAAATAAAAAGCATGTTAAGATAGTTTTATCACCATGTACAAGAAAAGCATATTAAGTACGTTAATGAACAGCTAACCACTCCTCACCTCATGATAATGTCTTGCCAAAAATTCACCACCAACCCTCAATGATCCAGTGCCAGACAAGCATTGAACAGTTGCAACACGATTCTCAAGAATGGCGGGGCTATATCAAAGTAAGGATTAGAAAACGAATCCAAAAGAAAACTATTGGATTAAGGCTACTATACTACTGATCTAAGTATGAGCAACCAAATATAAAAGGCAATAACTAACCAACAGTAAGTAAAAACCGGTACAGCTTACCTGTTCGCGCCAAAAATGAGCTTAGCGCTCTGTTTGTTAAACTCTGCCAATCCAACAATCGGAAGATACTCCTTAACTCGTGTACTGTGGATCATTAAAATCAGAACCTTAGCCTATATCGATAACAAGTAAGATTCACAAGAGAATGATCAAGAAAAGTACCTATCGTTAACAAGCTGGTGCTCTGCTTTTCTGACAACGTTCAAGACAAGAGGTTTTCCTTCCTATCAGATCAAAACACCAAAAGATTAAAATGCTCCTAACTAACACTTAGGCATCTAAATCACGAATAATATCAAGATTTAAAGCCACAGAAACGTACCTCAGTTCTGTAAGCACCAACGCCCAAATTCAACTTGTTCGGGCTCGGATCTTTGTTATACGCAACAGTCACCTATCCATATTCAAAGTTCAACAACAGTAACTGATATATGTAAAACTTGCAAAACATCAGATAAATAGAAGCAAAATGCGCAAATATGCAATTTAAAAAGTAAGCGAGCAGACTTTTGTCCGATAGTCATTCTATTCCCAAAAGAAAATCCTTCAGTGTTTCTAAAGCCGTAATAAACCAGCTGATGAGCCAAACAATTTCTAAAAGAGTACAATATAACATAAGAAATAACAACCAATTAAATTTAAACGAAAACACACAGGAACGATCACGATCCACAAACAGCCAACAAGAAATTCCCGACCGCGTGTATCCAAAAGTTCGGACATAATTCATTTCCGTAACATACCGTATAATAGAAACAAAAAGTCAAAATCAGATGTAAGAAACACTAAAAACTAAACAGAAATCAATCACCGCAAAAGAAAAGAAAAAAACTAGCAACACAAGAATATAACGAGATCCTAAGAACTAGTCCGCAACTAAACAAAGCAGATTGATGAGCACAGCAATGAAAAACCTAAAGCGATTGATCAAAAGAGCTAGAGAAAGAGAATACCCCGAGAATAGGATCTTCAGGAGCACGAACAACGTGAGCGAAAACAGAATCGCTGTTCAGCGAGGAAGCGACAGAAGCAGAAAGTGAATCAGCCATAGCGGATGAAGACGATTCGACCAGATGTCTTACGAGAGTGTTGATTCTCCGATCGGCAGGATCGGTATTTGAACTCGAAGTACGGGGAATAGCAGCGAGTTCAACGCCAAACAAGGGGCGCATCTTGTTTGATCGAAATTTCCCTTTTAACGCTTTGGCGTTTCGTTTTCGAGTTTTTTTTTCCCTCTCTCTCTCTCTCTCTCTCTCTCTCTTCTTCTTTTCCTTTTTCAACTTTGGCGCTGTTTTTATTTTACGTTTCGATTTTGCCTTTTATATGTAGTCGAAGCCCACGAACCGACATATTTTATTTTCCGAATTCTCAGATTATACACATTTTCTTTTTTATTATTATTATAATAAGGAATTATTACTATATAAATAAATATAATTAAATAATCTAAACATTAATATAAGTAAGCAAAGAATTAGAATATTAGGTTAAATTAAATTTTTTGGAAAAAATTAAAATTTAATTCATATGATGTTAAAAATTAAAATTAATGTCTTCATGATGTTCATGAATTAAAATTCTAATAAATATATCTATTAAATATTTAATTCTACTGTTTAAAATTACAAAAAAAAACGAATTATAATATCAGAATAATTCAAATTTAAATATAAAAATGAAATTAGTGGAATTGACACGTGGTTTGTTAGCGGTAATGTTGGCACGTACTACGAGGGAGAAAGCGGCACATGGCGCGGCCCATAGTTTGACGCGTGACTTTCACGTGCCAATAGGAGATAGGGATTACGATTGGCACGTCTCTCGAGAACTCCCACGTGGCTTATGACACGTGCGCCAGCGGTGGGTCGGGATAATTTATCATTTTATTTTATAAAAAAATAAATTAGAGTATAAGTGTTATATAATAAAATATTTATGTTGCCAATATTCTTGTTCTTTTTGACATTTTCATTTTAAATATAAATTATGTTGTAGCTTAATTTAAAATAGAAAGTGTTTATTTATTCAATTCAATGATTTTTTAATATTTTTAAGAATTTGGATGATATTTTATCTACCAACATATGGGTTGACACAAGTTTTGCTGACTTCTTTTTTTCAATAATAAAAATTTAATTTAATGTAATACTAATATACAATAATGAAAGAGAACGAAGACTCCGTTGAGCTTGTTGGATGATAAAAGTCACACATCACTAATTTAAGAAATGGGTATGAGTTTATAATTAAAGAATACTCTCTCCACTGAACACGAGACCTTTTAGAGAAGCAAAGGAAAGTCATGAGAACTTATGCTCTAAGTGGACAATATTATACCATTGTAGAGAGTAATGTTTCTCTAGAGTCATGTCCTAAAACTTAGTATAGATGGTTAAATTCTCAAATGTCGAACAAATGACTCAAAAAAATATATAATAAAATAAATAAATAAGCTTACATCCTTTACGTCCACGCAAAGGATTTTCAAGATACACGAAACCTCTCCAATAAGTACAGAATTGTCCAATAATAACGCCCATATTTGTGGCCAAACTCTTTAAAGACAATTCTATTTCACAATTATTTCCACGCTTTATTTATTTCTGCACATTTTTCAACGATCAAATTATTCGTTATAATAAAAAAAATACTATTATTATTTGTAAATTTTTAATTCATTATAATTTAGCTTAATTTTAATAAGTGGCGGTGATTAGATAGGCATGCACTTGACAAATAAAATTTTAATTTTTATCATAAACAATTACATGAATAAATTTGCAAGAATTTTACTTTAAATAATTAAAAATATCCCTGATTTCAAGAAAATTATGTTTGATGTAATTATCAAAATTTACAAATTTCAATATAAATATAGTCTAATGCCTGTATTTTATGACTCATCAATCAAATAAAAATATTTTTAAAAAAAGTAATATTATACGATGTCAAAATTGCAAATAGAAATTGAATTCTGTCTAATTTTGAGGGCTAATTTGATGAAATTGGAAGTGTTCAGAGTAAAAATGGACAAATTTGGGGGAATTTATTTTTATTTTTTCCAAAAAAAAAAAAAAAGAAAATTCTATAGCAGATAATAACTACAAGATATGATGGAGGATTTAGGTGGAAACGAATTTCCACCACTTGTATAGCGCAACACTGTAAACTATGGCGTACACAACCAGTCTGATTGGATAAATCCTAAACCTGCAACAGTTTCCAAGAATTCTAATGAAAATTTCGAAAAATCACTTTCAAAAACCAAAAGAAGTTTCCATAAACACGATTACGAATTTGATTTGGCAAAGACTGCATAATCACTTAACCTAACTTTCTCGCACAATTTTGGATAAATCCTAAACCTGCAACAGTTTCCATGCATTCAAATGAAGAGTTCGAAAAATCACTTCCAAAAACCAAAAGAAGTTTCAATAAACACGATTACGAATTTGATTTGGCAAAGACTGCAAAATCACTTAACCTAACTTTCTCGCACAATTTTGGATAAATCCTAAACCTGCAACAGTTTCATGCCTTCAAATGAAGAGTTCGAAAAATCACTTTCAAAAACCAAACGAAGTTTCAATAAACACGATTACGAAATTGATTTGGCAAAGGCTTCAAAATCACTTAACCTAATTTTTTTCGCACAATTTTTGCTCTGGAATCAATCAAACAACAGAAACAGAGCGCGAAGATAAAAAAGAATCAAAAGTAACCGACCTTGGATTCCGAGATGCAGTCGAGATCCGATACGATTCCCTTTCCTCTTCGGTGACTGGAGAAATCCACCGAGAGAAATTGCGGTCGAAGAAGCACCAGTCTGGCAAGAGGATGCCGGCGATGGCGAAAACGCCGACCAGATAAGTTACGGCCATTTTCTTGAAGGAATGCGTGGAGATTCCGACGAGAACGACGGCGGCGGCCAAGAAAACCAGAGAGGATTTAAGTGCGGCGTCTTCGGCCATGGATCTAGAGATGAAAAGGAAGGAAGAAATGAGAGAATACTCGAAGCGACGGCCATTACAGAGAAGAGGAGAGTGCGTGAGGGCCGGGGTCTAGGGTTTGCCGGTGGAAGCTGCTTAGTTATTGCAGCATTTATTGTACAGCTCTTTTAATGTCTCTGCTCGGCTTCAACGGTAACCTGTATCTTTAAATGCTTTGGCCCTATACACGTACCTTTATTTAATAAAGTTAGATTTTACCAAAGGGAAAAAACCCATAGAGCCTCCTAAACTCTTCAACAGTCTCTCCATAATCGAGTCTCGACTCCGTCTCTAGAGTCCTCAACCAAAGTGCATCCTTTGTTCGACACTTGAGTTACCTTTGACTACACCTTTGAGACCGTTTGTTTGACACTTAAAGATTTGGCTAAATTAAGTGCATGACTTTGATACCATGTTAGGAACTACAGACTTCCACAATGATATGATATTGTCCGCTTTGAGCATAACCTTTCCTAGGTTTACTTCTGGTATCCTCAAAATATCTCATATCAATGGAGATAATGTTTATTGCTTATAAACTCATGATCCCTCTTAATTCGTTAATGTAGTCTACTTTCAATAATCCTCAACAACACTATGTTGTGGGAAGTGGCGGAAGAAAGGGGTCGATGTAGAAGGGCGAATGGATGGATGGACACATGGGGACGTCGGCTTCTAAACGGGACAGACTGAGATTTTCTGCGTATTATCTGGACGACGTGTCGTGCCCTTCATAGAAAAGCCTTTATTTCAAACTATCAATGACACTATCCTGTTAAGAGTCACACGGATCAAATTTTGTCGCCCAAAAATGGCTTTTGGATTCAAGCCAAGGGCATGTGGCTTATCAACGCATTATTATTGTTATTTTCATGGCATTGGAGATTTTTGTGTTTCAATTAAGGAGACAAAAGGTACATTTCAATCCTTATTTTCTCGGATAAGGAGAGAAGATTATTTTCTAGGTACGTTCGGAAATCAATACAATGAATGACTATGCGATAGTACGAACCGTTCTAAATAAAGTATGATTTACAAGAATGATGTGAAAGTACGAAAATTATGTGAAAGAGTGGGATCAATGTATCATAAAACACAAATCACGTATATACATAAATTCTCATAATTTTGTTTCTCTAAAAATAATAATAATAATTCGAATAAAATATATTTATTATTTATAACTTTATAATATTAAGTATAATTATTCTCTCAACCATTATAAATATGGAAAAAAATTGTGAGCAATGGTATAAAATATATAAAATATAATTGAAATCTGAAGTATGAAGTTTAATATTTATAAGATTAAAATAAACTTTTTGAAAAATTAAATATAAGTTTGTTCAAGTCCTTTCCATACTAAATATATTAAATATATATTTATTGTTCTTCATTTTCTTTATTTAAAATATCCAAAAATATTTATTTAAAAATCAATCTCATCGTTTAACACTTATCCTATTTTAATCATTTGACCACATAAATATTATTTTTAATAAATTAGAGAAATTAAAATAATTTTCTAGCCAATTAAATTTCTAAATTTTCTCCCATAAATTACAGACAATTGACCAATTACATAGTCTATAAATAATATAATTAAATCATTGATATATATGTTTTAACTTTTTGTTTTTTTGTTTAATAAAATTATTCATTCATCCATAATAATATATATATATATATAGTTAAATTTATGTCTTAGTTTTAAAAGTTAAATTTAATATTTTAAAATTTCCATTAAAATTATTATGAATTCGATTTATGAGAGAGTGGATATGGTTGATTATGTGGAGAGGAAAGCCAATTCAATCTTGTATATTAGGTATGAATACAAATGGAATATTAGTCTATGAATAGTCCAAAAGTCACAAACAGAGAGGATCAGACCCACCCCTAGTCCAAACAAACCTTCTTGGTTCGGACATCATTTTCTTCGGGCCTGCTATGTATAATTACCATTTTAACCTTGAATTTTTTTTTTCATTTATTCGAGAATAATAATTATAAAATAAAGAGGCTGAGTATTTCAGGTAATTAGATGAGATAATGATAATTAAGAGGTAATTAGATATTTAACTTTAATTTATTATTTTTCTTATTCCGATGAATATGAAGGGCAAAAAAGGAATGCACTTGTTGTTTCTTGATTTTGAAGTTTTGACGTTGTCTTTGTTCTTATCTATATTTTATAAAAAAAATATATTATTATTGTTTTCTAATTTATATGTTTTTATATGTTTTTTTGAAATATTTCTATATATTTATTTGATGTAGATGGATCCAAGCGACAAAATAATATCCAAAATTCGATAATATTGTAAATTAATTTAGTCAAAAGTAACTATAACTCGATCTATTTTTTTAGTCTTTAAGGAGCCAAACCTTGACTTTATTAATAAAAAAGACCGGCACAAGAGAGAAGTTGGGGAAGGAGTAGAGTAGGTGGACCGATAGGGAAAAAGATATTCACCTTTTTTTAGTCGTATCTTGCTCGGTGGGACTAAGAGAAAGAAAGGACACGAGGAAACCATGCACGATATTTCTCGATCATGTCTCTGAGGGACAGTTAAATGAGCGGCTCGTGAATGCTTTCAAGTTCGACAAGCCAATAATTCAAAAGTCTTCGATATTTGTTTCGACCATAACGTTACCTTACCTTTGCTATGATCGGAACTCTAAGTTCTCGTGGAGGAGTACGAGGGGATCTGTCGTTAATACAATGATAGAAATGGAAACAAGAAACACGATCGAGATCCAAGATAATACAATCGTCAACAACGGTAACAATAACATCAAATTTTTTAATTATATAAGCGAACAAAACTCCGACCCAAACATTAAAAGTTTAAAATAAATAATACAAAACTAAATTCATCAAAACAAACTATCAAATGATTGAAAGCATAAAAATCTATAATTAATATTAAAAAATGGTTAGGTTCGAAAAGACAATTTAATGGTTGATAATAACTTTTCAGTTGACTAATAATAAAAATGAAAAGTGGAATTCATATTTATCATCAATATTTAATTTAAAATTTTCATATTTATTCCAAAAAAAAAACAACACACTTTTAAATTTAGAATATATACTTTCGCTCGTCATTTAACTTTTCCGTAAATTCTATAGTAACTAAAATAAAAAAAAATGTTTAAAATTTACTTTGTAAATCGATCTTAAAACAAAAGACTATTTGACTTCAAAGTGCCACGACCTAATAACTGAAATAAACGACGAAACAGAACCTCAACTCGACAACAATTTGCCACTATTCATCCTACTCCCGTACAAAAATAATAACAAACTTGTAATAGGTTTTCTCGAGACCTCAATATTTAACCCTAAAGTCAAAATTACACATAATATGTCGCTTCACACACCATCTTCCATATTTAAGTTAAAAGAGAAAAATAAAGAAACGTGTCACGAGGTTCGAAGATAACGAGAGCTTAGTTGAACTTTATTCGGTCCAAGTCATAATAATATATTCATAAAATATTTTTACCAATATTTAAGAACAACAAGAAAAAACTCGAAATTTCGAATAAAATTAGTTTTTTTAATAACAAAATTGTCATAATTATTATATATGAATATTTAAAATCAAAATCTTAACCAGATTTTCAAATAGAAAAAAACAGGGCAATAATGGAAGCTACTGATTTAAATTATTCAAACTCTCATCATTATTTATTGAAAATAATAATAATAAATAAAAGGAGGATTATCCACCAAAAATAATATCGTTTAATAAATAAAAATATTATTTCAGAGCTAAATTTTAAATTAATCTATAGTTCAAAATATTTAAAAATATTATTAAAATTTAATAATATTTAAATTAACCTAATTTTATTTTTATTATTATGGAAAACGAAATGATCGGATATTATTATTATTATTATTTTCCAGAGGAAATAAAAATAAATATCTATAAATAAATAAAAAAAGGAAAATATGTCTGTGGCTAGAATTTGCGCATCAATTTGCTGTATCCTCTTCCCCATCTCCTCTCCCTCCTTTTTCGTAAGCTTTTGTTCTTCAACTTGTTTCAGAAAAAAAAATAATAATAATAATAAGAAAATTTGGATTCTATAATTAATTAATTAATTATTTATTTATTTTTTTGTAATATGATTCTATTTCTCTCTCGTTTTTCTAGGTTAATTCTCTTGAAAAATCGACCAGTTGTTAGGAAAATAAATAAATAAATAAATAAAATATAAGGTAAAGAAATAATTAAAAAACTGTGAGTCTCAGAGAGGAGAGAGAAAGAAGAGAGAGAGATGGATATGGTTCATTGGTGAGTGAGAGAAACAAGGGTACGTGTTTTCTGGGGCGTTTTGTGTTGTGAGATGTCAGGTGGCGGTTGCAGCATAGTTTGGTTCAGAAGAGATCTCAGGGTTGAAGATAACCCAGCTCTCACCGCCGCCGTTAGGGCTGGCGCCGTCGTCGCCGTCTTCATCTGGGCGCCGGAGGAAGAAGGTCACTACTATCCTGGCCGAGTCTCGCGATGGTGGCTCAAACAGAGCTTAGCGCATCTCGATTCTTCGCTTAGAAGCCTCGGCGCTTATCTTGTCACTAAGAGATCCACCAACACCATTTCTACTTTGCTCGATGTCGTTAAAGCCACCGGCGCTTCTCAGCTCTTCTTCAATCACTTATACGGTCTGTTCTTCTTCCATTTCTTAATCCTTCTTTGAATCGGTCGCTTAATTTCTCCGTTAGGGTTATTGGAATTGATTTGTTCGTAAGGTTTCTGGTAAACCCCTTTTTGATTTGGTTTAATTTGCCATTGTTGCTGTAAAATTGTGTTCTCAGACTAGTTTTGTAAGTGTTTAAGCTCTCTTAAAGGGTCCTAAAATGGCTGTGAATCGAATCTCTCTGATAATTTGGGTGTCTTATGGAGTTCTTCATGTTTGTTAGATCCTTTGTCGCTTATTCGTGATCATCGAGCAAAGGAGGTTTTATCTGCGCAAGGCATCGGCGTGAGGTCTTACAATGCCGATTTGCTGTACGAGCCGTGGGACGTTAAGGATGTCGATGGCAATCCGTTTACGACGTTTGCCGGGTTCTGGGAAAGATGTCTTAGCATGCCTTGTGATCCAGAGGCACCTCTTCTCCCACCTAAGAGAATCATTTCAGGTTGCTTTTTCTTTGTGTTTACTTCAAAGATTTGTTTCCCTTATCGAGTATTTGATGGATTC